AGTTTTACTTATAACTGCATCATTATAAATCAAACAAAATATATTAACAGCATTGAATTCTCAAGTAAAATAAAATGTGGTTCCAGTCAGATTATAAAAAGTTACCTTTATAATCACACTGGTGTAATTCTCTTAATAACAACAACAACAAAAAAAAGTCAAAAAACAAAACAAAAACCTTATACTGCTCTCAAAAAAGGAGCACCGGAATCATGCTCAGGAAAGGGAAGGAGGCTTCACTTCATGTCTTTTGTTGCAGGCATTTATTTCCCTTAAGAAGGAAGCCAAAAACCATTTGTTCTTATGAAAAACTGATGCATTTCAACTTCAGGATTGTGACTAGTAGGGGGAAAACAACAGGAATAAGATGTGTACAAAGCATTAAAAAGATAAAATTAACTTGTTTTCATTTAACATGCTCAAAGCCATTTAAGAAAAGGTGCTCATACCAAACACACTGGCAAATGTGGTTAGCAGAGACCTATTTCTATTAACTCAAGTACATTACAGACTTGAGAGTAAACATTTACTACAAAACCATGTAAACTGGATAAAGTTAAGAAAAAGAAGTCACCTGCATCATAGTATGTACAAGCATTTTACGTACACACTCTTGTCTACAGAGAAGTTAAGCTTCAAAGTATTGAATAAATGACCCATGATACAAATTATCATTTCTGTTATTACCTTATTATAGCTGCTGACACCTCCTGGGTGAGGAGAAAAAAGGATAACGGAAAAAACTGATTATGAAAACTAGCTTCCTTCTCATTACTAGTAATGCAAAGGTTTGTGCATACAGAAACACAACCTTTGCTCCTAAAGAACAGATTACTTCAACTTAAAATCAGTTTGTCACAGATACTGATTATTGTCAACAATGCTTCTTCGGCGGATGGGGGGGGACCAACTATAATAAACATATAACAAAATTCCTCTCAATACAAAAAAAATTACCATATAATTTCTAAACTGAGCAAGATTTCTCAAAAAAAAAATGCAGTGTAGGAAAACTAAAAATATGATATATTCAATAATGAATGCATAATGAATAGAAACAAACATTTAATATTGGAAAATGTTTAACTAGCAAAGCAAGTTTTAATTTATTTTTTTGCCCTCATTTTCAAGGGAGAGGAAACAGGGAGAAAAAATAAATTGAGGTCAAAAAGAAAGTTTACATCTCTCCCTCACCCCCCAACCCCAAAAAAAGATCACGAAAAAGTGAACACAAATTTTTCAGATCACTAACGTGGACTCTAACATGTTTGCTTTTTCTGAGCCATGCACTACTTTTTCAGTTATTCACAATAAAAAGATTTAGACTAGCCTTCCTCAAAAACTATACCATATAGTCACATTAATTTTCATATCTGCCTAAAAATGAACACTCAAAATCTAATTTTAATATCTCTAGATTTCCATTTCCCCCTATTTGGGATTTTTAAGGAGAGTGATTTTATTTTTATTTTTATGCCATCTCAATTCTAAACTGCAATACTTTATTAAAACAGAACTTACATTCAAATACTGTTCCTGCTTAAGTTTCATTTTCAAGACAAAGGAAGGTTTCCCAAAAAAAACCAAAACAAACCTATTCTTTCTCATGGATAGTCCCAGGCTGGTTCAGTGGAAAACTTCTCTTTAAAGGAAGAGCAGTTTAACACTTTAAAACCTCAATCAAAAGAAAAGCAGTTTAACACTTTAAAACCTCAATCAAACCTATCTGTGATCGTCTCTGTCTCAATGGAAGACCAAGTATCAGAATTATCAACTGATGGTATGTCTTTCATGAGACTGGTCCAACCTAGAATTCATTCAACAACCTAAAAAAGCAACCATGCTAAATAAAGTTACTTCAGAGAAAAATCTGATATCCCCTCTCCTGCCCGCCCCCACACAAAAAAACCAGTAAACAAAAAAAGACTGTTCACAATCCACAGTCAAAATATAATCTAAAGGTTAACTTGGCATAAAATTAAAATGCTTACTCTAAAGCATTTAAGTTTAATCAACCAAACAAAATCTAGAACACAGAAATCCCCAATGTGTAACTGGCCAAATAAATATTCTCAAACTGACCAGGAAATTTTTTTAAAGCTTACTTTTGAAAAATATTTCAAAATAAAACTGCTATTCATTTAAAACTTCCAATTATCAGAAGATGGTACTGTAAGTACAATATCTTGACTAATCACTGAAATAAAATTTAGTTTTAACTAAATTTAAAAAGAATTGTTCAGCCAAGCATATGGACAAAGGAAATTATAATTCCTAACCACAAACAAGTAGATTAATTTGTTTTGGACAATGACAGGCCACAAAGGAGTAAAGGACGACTTGCCAAATTTGAGAATCAAATCACCCAGCACAGATAAAAACGTGATGAACTTCAGAAACCAATATTTTTCTTAAGTCAAGTTAAGTTTATAATAAGGCTAACAATTACAGGAAGCAGCTTATTCCACACTAAGGAATAACCCCTTTTCCTCCCTGTTTGTACTGGTCTGATAAAAAACAATCAAACTTCCTAGTCATTATGCTGTCCCTTTTTAAACATCCTAGCTACTATACAGGAGCAATCTTTATGCTGGGGAGTTGAAATGGCTAAAACTCAATAGAGACTGAGACAGAGATGAAGTAAATCATAATAAAAATAAAAAATACATATTACTTAGACTGTTTCCTCCTCAACCAGTGGTTTACAACATTTAAAACTCAAACGATTACTATTTCCAAACACAGAGAAACAAACAAACAAACCTTTGTTAGAAATAATGGACATAATTGGAATTCTAGATTTAGAAGATTAAAAATTATCACGCCAAAGGTTAGAACCAATTTCAATCACCATTTAGAGATTTGAGGCCAACATAACAGCACAAATGAGAAGCCTTTCAGAACTAGTCAGAGAAACCCAACTCGCCTCAAACAGCACAAATGAGGAGACATCTCCAAACGTTCTCTCTCCTGTGCTGTCTCACTGAATCCAACATTTTAATTCAGGCGCAACTTTAACTCTAATATGATCAAAGCTTATTTTCATTCTAATGACTGTAAAAGATTTCTTCTATACAACTACGCTTAAAGAAAAAGCTCAACAAAGTTTTTACAAATACCACTAAAACTTTAAATGCATCAAAACGTGCCAAGAAAAAATAGCGTTATTACTTCCATAGCGCATGTGGAATTCATGAAATCACATGAAATGTGATAAAATTGTTCCGAAGTGTCTTCAAATATATATATGGACACAAAATGACCTATGATTCAAGTGTCAACTAATTTAATATAGGTCAGGTAACTGAGAATGTTACACATTTTGCTCCAAACATCTCTTATGCTTAAAAAAATATAACTGGCGCCCCTTAGCGCCCACAATTGGAAATACTCAATTTAAGAGTTCCAGCAATTTTTTTTTTTTTGACATTCCAGAAAGTTTTCTGCCTCCACAATCTTTCAAATGCCAACACAAATAGGAAAAGCAGAACCCCTTAAAGGCACAGCTCAAGTTTTCCCCGGAACAATCTGATATGAACCGATTTGCTGTTTCAACTATGGGGGGGGGGGGGGAAGCTCATCTCAATGAAATCTATCTACTGCTATATGATTAACACATAAGCACACACACAAAAAAAACAGTACGCAGTAATATCCAACAGTTTTCTACTTTTCGAGTTGTTTCTGAGACTTTCATGGTAACCAAAGCTCCTGGGATGCTTCTTCAACCTCCTTTTATCACGCAGATATTTCCGGTCTTTTGTTCTTGCGTGACATTCCAACTCCCCAACCTTCAGATCCCTTTCTCCCAGGTCTGTTGTAAAATGTCTCAAAATCCTTGCGAAAAACCTACAATCCAATGTTCATCGCTATGCAGCAGTTTTCCGTTTTCTTCAGTCCTCCCGGAGATGCTTCTAAGCAGGAAAAAAAAAAAAAAGAAACTCCACGCTACTCGATTTTCAAAAATGACCCCCTTCGTAGTGGTCGCCTTTCCCCTGGCGGCCACGGAAACGCCCCCGGACGGGGACGTTCCGGCCCTGCCGCGCCGGCGGACCTCGGTCGAGCCCTCTCCGAGTCGGCCAACGTCCTCGGCGGTCCTCGCTCCTCGCAGCTCTCCGCCGACGAAGCTCTGCTACAAACTTTTGCTTGCTTCGTCTTCGCCCTCTCGGGCGCCTCGGCTTCCTGTCCTACACACCGAGGCGGCCGCGGCCCTGGGGGAAAGCTCTCCGCCCAAGTTCTCTCCAAGTCGGACGCCGCCCGCACGCGTCCTCGCGGTATTTCGCGTTCACCCCCCCGAAAGTGAACTTAAAACTCCCCGACGGGGCTCGCTTCCCCAAACAAAAGGACAGAAAAGTGATTTCCGCTGTCATTTTGTCCTCGCCTTCGGCTACGGCGGCTGTACTTTCGGTCGGCTCCGGGATGCCTTTCAATTCACCCAGCCCCACGCTCCTCGGTCCCCTCGAGTATTTACAAGCTGCGCAAACTTCCAAAAACAAAAGCACAAGCCCCACTCGGGGAACCGCCAGGACCTCTGTTAGGGGGTGGGGGGGGCGGCCCCTCCGGGAACGGCCCCGAAGCCGGTGTCCTTCAGGCGCCCGCGAGGCGGGCGAGGCCGGGCTGCTCCCCGGGAGGCCCGCGGAGCTCGGGGCCGTCGCGGAGCTCGAGGCCGGGCCGGGAGCCGGCAACCCCGCAGCCTCCCCAGGCGCACCCGCCGGGGCGCCAGCGACGCAGGGCCGGGCCGGGGTGAGGGAGCCCGGGGTGGGGGGGGGCGTCCCACCCGCGGGTCCCGCCCGAGCCCCGGCCCGCCCGCCCCGCGCCCCCCGGCCTCGGCGCCGCCTCCGTGCGCCCCGCCCGGGCCTCGCCGGCCCCGGGTGCACGGTCCCCCGCCGGCGGCCGCGCGACCTTCCCGCCCTCCCCACACTCCGGCGGGCGTCGGGTCCCGGGGAGAGGGGCCGCCTCCCGGGCGCGGGCCGCAAGAGGCCGGGCCGGGCAGGACTCACCTTCGTCCAGCAGCCGCTCGAGGTGGTTGAAGATCCCGCAGAAGTTGGGCAGGCTGCTCATGAGCTTCTTGTCGTTCATCAGCTGCATCAGGTAATCTGGGGTGGGCTTCGGCTTCTCCTTCGTTTCCATTTCCCCCACCATATTCCAGGCTCCGCAGCTCACTCCACCCGCCGCCGCCGCCGCCGCCGGAGAGGGAGGGAGGGGCGGGGAGCCCCGGCCGCCGGCCGCTCGGGACTCGGCGTCCCGCTCCGCTCCGCTCCCGCGCCGGGCGCCCGGGCGGCCGGACCGCGCGCTCGCCGCGCTCTCCCCGCCCCCGCAGGCACTTTCCGCCCGCGGCCCGACGCGCTCCCGGCCCGCCGCCGCCGCCGCCGCCGCTCCTCGGCCGCCGGCTCGGCGCGTCCCTCACGAGGCCGGCGGGCGGGAGGCGGGTCTCCGCGGGCCGAGTGCGGGCGCGGGGCCGCTCGGCGCCGGACGAGGAGGAGCCGGGCCGCCGCTCGCCCGCCCGCTCGCCCGCTCTCTAGCTCGCTCGGCTGGTCGCGCCCGCTCGGCCGCCGCCGCCGCCTCTGCCGCGGGCTCGGGGTCTCTCTGGGCTGGTCCCCGCCGCGGCCGCCTCTCCGCTGCCGCTGCCGCCGCGCTCTGACTCCGCTCCTCCTCTTCCTCCTCCTCCTCGCCGCCTCCTCCTCCTCACTCACTTGGCGGCGGAGTTCGCCTCAGTTCAGGCGGCGCTGCCAGCGGCGGCGGCGGCGGCGGCGGCGCGGGGGGAGGGGCGGCGGCGCGGGGAGGGCCGAGGGCGGGCGGCGGGCGGGGCCGCGCAGGGCGGCCGTTAGCGGGGCCCGTCCGGCGCGCTCCTCCTCCCGCCGCCGCCGCCGCCGCCGCCGCCCTCCGCGGCCCCCGGCCTAGGCGGTGTCGCCGCCGCCGCGCCGTCTCCCTCAGGCGGCCTGAGGGGAACGGCGGCTGCCGGCGTGACGGTGGCGGTGCACAGCCAGCCCGGCCTGGGCGCCGGGCCGGGAGGTCGCCGCTTCGGGCGAGCGGAGGGAGGGGCCGCTGCGGGGCCGCCGGACGGGGGAGGGCGGCGGCGGTGCTTCGGGATGGGGCGTGTGGAGGCTGAGGGGGCGCCGGCCGCGCCGCCGGGCCGGCTCTTCTTGGCGGGAGCGGTCGGGCTGTGGCGTTAGGGGGAGAGGGGTTTCCAGCGGGACAGGCTACGGCGTGTCAGGGCCGCGCTCGCCGCCTCACGGCCCCGTCCCTTCCCCCCGTTACTATAGGTTTTTTTAAAGCCACTCAGCCGCCCTCCCCGCCCCCACCCCCCAAAACAAAATTTTTTTTTTTTTTAACGTCCTGTTGCTTCACGGGGGGACTTTCGGGGTGGGCGTCACGTGGCCCGACACGTAGCCGTGAAGCCCGAGAGCGCGTGCGTGCGTGCGTCGAGGCCGGCGGCCACGCCCCTTCCGAGGGTCGCCCCGCCCCCGCGGGGGACCCGCGAGCCTAGGGGGAAGGGGCGGGGCGTGCCTCGCGCCTGCGTGGGGCGGGGCGGGGGAAGGGGCGCGTGCCGGGGTGGGCGGGGGTCCTGGTGTGGGGGCCTCCCCCTCCACCATCGCTACCACCGTGCTGTGGCCGGGCCGTCGGGCCCGCGGGGGCGGCGACGTAGCGTAGTCTCCGCTCCCGGTCCCCGGGCTGTCCTGTCAGGACGGGTTCCACGGTGGGCGCGCACAGCGACCTCCCGGGCTCCTCGCGTTTGCCTCCGGCCTCGGTGTCGCGCGGCGGGTTCCCCCCAGCCGTGGGCGCCTCTGGCCCGCCCGACGGCGTGGCTGGGCCAGTACGGCGGGGTCCGCGCTTCCGTGGCCCCCAGCCCTCCCGAGAGCCGCTGCGGCGAGGCGCGTGCACCGGCGGGACCGAATTCGGAGCGGATCGGGAGCGCCGTCTGCAGCGCTTCGCGATGGCTTCGGTATCCAGTAATGATCCCATGCAGCCGTGATGGCGAGGCGGACGGAGGAGCGGGCGCCTAAGTTGGAAAAGCGCAAAGTCAACACTGGTATTTGCACACATGCAGAAATAACCCTACACTGGGCAAGGGGGTTTTCCTGCAGTTAGACTGCATTTCAAACATTTTGATTTCTTTGGGAAGGAATTTTCTGAACAGCCACACTGCAGTTCAAAAAATTTGGTTTGCAGAATGTGGTCAGCCACCAAATCTGCATCTGCGTTTTATTGCAAGCCCTTTATGACATGTTCAGTTGATAATGTATACAAAATAATGTATACAAAAACCGAGCATTGTATGAGTGACATATGCTGAAATAGTTTCATGTCTGAAGTCATGTCTACCGAGTTCTAAATAAGTGGATTTGTTGGCTGTTTTTTGTTTCTTTTATAAAGTTTTGTTTCAGACAGATTCTGAGGAACACTTTTTGAGTGTTGAAACTATTGAACTATTGAAACTATTAAATGAATTTCAAACAAAAATTCGAGTGACAAGTAGCTTCTGGCCTATTCATTTAAAAGCATAGAGAGTTTGCATTTGAAGCTAAGTGGATAGAGGACATAGAATTGCTTTGCTAGACAAAGTTAAGAACAGTCAGTTCGTTCAGTCGCTCAGTCGTGTCTAACTCTGCGACCCCAGGAACCACAGCCCGCCAGGCCTCCCTGTCCATCACCAGCTCCCGGAGTCCACCCAGTCCCATGTCCCTCTAGTCGGTGATGCCATCCAACCATCTCATCCTCTGTCGTCCCCTTCTCCTCCTGCCCGAAATCTTTCCCAGCATCAGGGTCTTTTCCAATGAGTCAGCTCTTTGTATCAGGTGACCAAAGTATTGGAGTTTCAGCTTCAACATCAGTCCTTCCAATGAACACCCAGGACTGATCTCCTTTAGGATGGACTGGTTGGAAACATTAAACACAAATATTTTAAGTTCACCAACACTCATCATTGTTAGAGCTATAGAAGGTTCACCTGAGCTGCGCTGTGCTTAGTCCATCAGTCCTGTCTGACTCTCTGCAGCCCCGTGGACTGTAGCCTGGCCAGGCTTATCTGTCCATGGGGATTCTTCAGGCAAAAAGACTGGAGTGGGTTACCAAGGATATTCACCTAATTATCTATTAAAGGATGAATATTCTAAATGCAGGGAATAGTCATTTAATCAAAAGCTGTTGTCTCTTCAAAAACTAAGGCGTGTTTCCTTAGTAGCTGGCAGAATGATAGTTGTGAAGGGTTTTGGTACTAAGTTATTCATTTGACTTTAGTGTAAAATGTTCAGTCTCTGTAATCTGTTCACTTCTTTATTAAGCTCCTAGGCCTTGTGCTGAATGGATACCTCATTTAATTTTTAGTTCAGCCTTGTAACTTAGGTTATGCTAGTAGCCCCATTTTACATAAGGGGAAACCCAAGAAGGAGATTAAATAACTTCCCCAAGGTTATAGCTCGTGGGTCCTAGGTGTGGAATTCAAGTCCAGTTATATTGTATTCTAAAGCCTGTGTTCTGTGCTCCTTTCCTAACCCTATCCAATAAGGTCGGAACTTTTGATGGTGTTCCACCATTTTTGACCCATAGAAACTACAGTTTCATATGACTAACTGGTTCATACAGTCTAGATGAACCACATCAGAGTTAAAGAACAGTGATAGACTATTCATTTTCTATGTATCAAATCCCTTATGGTTACACCATGTGACAATAGCTACTCTGTTCTGCCTTGTCAAATATTTGAAAATAACTTCTGCCCACAGTTCTTCAGTGATGCCCCCACTACAGATGGAAAAAACCCAAAGATCTTACAGAGAGGCCTGTGGGTCCAGGTGCTCCGGCCTCCTGCTGCCCTGGTGACCTTGTGCTGGGCTCTTCCAGCCCCCACCACCTTCTGCTCACAGTCCTTCCACTCCAGGGCTCTGCTTCAGTGTTTCCTCTCCCAGCTGAGTTTCCCCACACATCTCTAAGCAGCCCCCATACGTTTTCTCAGGACTTACAAGAGAAGGCTTTCCTTGCCACCCTATGGAAAATAGTGTATGCATTATTTAAGACACACACACCTGCTGTTTGCTCTCTGCTTACCCATCCACCCCTCTTATAATTCTTTTCATGGTTTATTTCCACCTGACACTGTCTTTGTTGTTGTTCAGGCTCTCAGTCGTGTCCGACTCCTTGTGACCCCTTGGACTGCAGCACACCAGGCTTCCCTGTCCTTCACCATCTCCCGGACCTTGTGCAAACTCACGTTTGTTGAGTCGGTGATGCCATTCAACCATCTCATCCCCTGTTGCCCCCTTCTCTTTTTTGCCTTCAGTCTTTCCCAGCATCAGGGTCTTTTCCAATGAGCTTGCTCTTCCCATCAGGTGGTCAAAGTATTGGAGCTTCAGCATCAGTCCTTCCAATGAATATTCAGGACTGATTTCCTTTAGGATGGACTGGTTGACTCTCCTTGCAGTCCAAGGGATTCTTAAGAGTCCTCCAACACCACAGCTCAGATGCGTCAATTCTTCCATACTCTGCCTTCTTTATGGTCCAACTCTCACATCCATACACGACACTGTCTTATCTACGGGTAAGTTTGTCCCCTCCTCCTTCACTGTGGGCTCCTTGAGAGAAAAGACTTTACTTTGTTCTGTTTGGAACTCCCAACCCCTCAAGACTGAATGGTACATGTAGGCACATTAAAAATATGTTCCAAAAAATATTAAGTACTTGTTATACACCAGGAACTATGCAAAACCCTTACCTACATTATTTCTTGTAATCCACAGAGCAAACATCTGGGCTGGGTGTGAACAGCCAGATTTCAAAAAGAGAGTGCTTTAGAGCAGTAAGTAGCTGGACCATACAGCACAGAACTGGTCCAGACGGGGTGAAGCCTCCCGCCTGTCCTCCAGTATCCACAGTAGCCCTTCCTTTTCTCTCAAACGCCTACCTTGCACATATTTGATGTGTATGTATTACACCATTTATTACACAACAAATGACAAGTACAGTGAGGAACACAGAAATTCTTAGGATACATTGCTTGCCTTGCAGGAGCTTCAAAAGCTAAAACTTAATGTGGAAAAGGCTTTATATTATTACAAAAACATCTTTTTGATATTCATAATAAGATACAACATATTCACATGTTACACAGAAAGTTACAATATATGTATGGGTGAGCTCCTATTTGA